TAATGAATGAGAAGCAGCGATTGTGGAGGGAAAAAAAGAAGGACTTACGGAAACTAGTTCCGTCCATGCATTCCCAGTAGTTGTTGAGACCTTTGTTAGACATAACGGATGCTTTTGTTGTTGTTGTTGCTTCTGTTTCGCATGTGAGTGTTGCACATTCTGGTAGTCCTGACAATGGAGGAGAGATTGGTCAAGTTTTTGTTGATCATAACCACTTAATGGATTCAGTTGACCATAGGGCGGGTTCTCGGGAGTAAAATCGGATCCCTGTTTCCCAAGAGACCCAATTGAGTAAGACGAATTTTCAAAGCTACCGTTGCTTGGCAGCGGCTTGGGTGTTACTGCAGGGTCGAGATGCTTCTGGTTGGATGATGTTACTGACTCTGTACTCTCCGAAGCCATTTGAGAGCGCACTACAAGTACAGGTTTGGAAGTGACCAAGGCAGTGGAATGTGAGGAAACGGATGATGAGGCTGGTAAAGAGTAAATAGAAGAAAAAGAGGAAGAGGAAGAGAATGCGGAAAGAGATGAAGAATCTAACCTAGAACATGCCGTGGGATGAGTGTATACACTTGAGGATAAAGATTGATCAGTAGTGATTGCAGCAGAATGAAGAGGAGTAAGAGCGTAATCTTGATCACTACTTAGTCTCGATATGAACATTGATGTTGCCAAGGGAATGCCATCCACCAATAATACAGTTTTTCTGGTATCCTCGTGATTTTCTAGCTCGTCCTCTCCGTCGTCCTCGTCTTCATCGCCATCTTCCTCATCTTCTTCTAACGCCTCTTCTTTTCCACCTATCACGAGGCCTTGACATTTATGCTCATAAAATTGCTTTTCTTTGATTCCTATTGCAGCTCTGCTATCCTCATTAGCCTTTTTGGTTGGCAACAAAGCTTCTAAATGGCCCGTCAATGTCGGTGGACCGTTAGCGTCTTTGTCGAGAAATGGAGAAGCAGCTAGCTCACTGCCTAAGCGGCTCGGCATAACTTTTGTCTCCTCTTTCAATATGCAACCGATTTGTCCAACTTGTCTAGCTTCATCAGCTATTCCATTGCATACATTTGTGTCCAAATAGCATGGATTCGTCAATGTCGAGGATGGGTAGGAGGACCCATGCAGCCTGGGTCTGCTACTCCATCCATTATCGTTTACCGATGATCCTTGATCTAGTCTCATGACGAAAGTGGAAGAGAGCCTAAAATAGATATAAAGATTTTTCTGCATCATAAGAGCCGGGTGGATGCAACAATAAACTCAAAGTTTATGAAAAATTCATTCTACTCTAGTTTGTATATTATAATTAGGGACTGGTAACTATTCTGGTTTGCGCTTCTGAAGATTACTACGTCAAATCGCACTATTATGAGGCCGAAAATTCAGTGGATAAATAAAGTTGTGTCTATCTTGAAGCCGTTTATTTCATGATATTTTGAAGCAACCACAGACAGTAAAACGACTAAAAAGGCTAGTCTCAATATTCGTTTTACCGTACATGTTCATCACCTCAAGCATTCGGTGGCTTAGCAGGCATAAT